CAGCTGCTGCCTCTCCTCTGTGCGCACCCTGGGAAAATTGCCATGTGATTTAGGGACTACTCTGTTGTAGATCGAGGAACTTTAGAACACCCTGTGAGGGTAGAGAGGGAATGTTGCAGATCGTTCTAGAATGATTCCAGTGGCTGGGAGGGGGTAGTGGGGTAGTGGGATATCCCAGGATATTATGATAAAATAAAATAATAATATGATAAAAGTATTATTAATAAAATAATAATAAAATACATAATGTTATATTTTATAATATATAAAATAATAATAAGTAAAATACAAATCTGAGATGATAATATTATCTCTCTCATAGGGCTGTTATGAAGGTTAAAGGAGTTAACATTTGTAAAGCAGTGTCAGGCGCATATTAACCTTTTCTTTCTTTCTTTTTTTTAACAAAATAAAAGACTGTTAAATAAAATAAAGAGATAGACTTTCTAGAAAATTAATGTAGGGAAAGAAATTGGGGGAAAGGAAAAACAAAAATATAGGACAACATGTGGAAGACAGCGAAAATGTTACGCTCTTGGGTCAGACGCAGTTACAAAAGTGGCCACAAATTTTGCTTTCAGGTTTCTAGCAGCTATAGAAGGAAACATGACCAGACTCACCCCCTGCACACAAGATACCAGTTGTTTAGTAGGAACCATGTTTTAAAACTCAGGTAGGGGTTCCTCCCTGAATGCAATCTCGAGTTTCGTACGGCTCTTTCTGTCTGCCTTGCTTTTGGAGGCTGAAGCCCTCGCACGGGGGCCTTTTAGGGAAAGTGATTTCAAAGGCCCCCAAACAATTAGATTTAGGACAGAGTTCTTTCTACTTGCCTGACTTTATCACGGAGAAACTTCTAGAAGAGAAATGGAGGGGCTTCATAATCTCCTAACAATTTTTTGTGAATATTATTTTTTAACTCTCACAAAAATTGAGCAGCAAAGAATTTCAGATTATGTTCTCTCGAAAGAGACTCCCATTTTATTATTTCATCCATTTTCTCCTGATTTGTCAGACCTCTCCTGACTTTTCTTTCTTTTTCTCTAACCTGGATTCTGTGATTCAGCCACTTGCCAGTATGCTCAAGGGTCTTGCTCTCTCTTGTTCTAACTGCAGATTCATGGCCTCTGAACTTGGCTAAACCTTCACCCTTTTACATTTCCCCAGTGAGTTCTCACATTTTCCACGATGAAAAGAAAAAGTAATAAATCCTTCCACTCACCTATATTTTGCATTAGAATTTTTGTGTATATCCTTGCTTATTTATTATGCACATATATATGCATAAATATATCCATAATATATATTTACCAGTTTGGAATCATACCGTGTAAACTCTTTTGTTACCTGGAGTTTTCATTTAATAACAGATTTTCCATGTCAATGAAGATAAATCAGATCATCATGAGACATGGTTGTATGGTAGCCTAATCCTCTATTTGAGTGAGGTATAATGTATTTAACCAAAATTCTGCCTTTTATTTAGAATATTTCTAAGTTTTTCTATTAGCACAATGCTGTAGACAGATCCTGTTCTTTGTGTGCTTGTTTATTATTATAGGATAAATTCCTAGGAGTTGAATTACTGGATCAAAGATGTACTTTATTAGGATGGTGATACATATTGTCGCATTTTCCCCTAGAACGTTTATACCAATTCAGTCCCATGGTAGGCAGAATAATGTCCCTCCTGACCAAAAGATGTCCACATCCTATTCCCCAGAACCTGTGAACATGTGACCTTACATTGTTAAAGGGACTTTGAAGGTGTGATCAAATTAAGGATTTTGAAATGGGGAGATTATTCCATATTATCTGGGTGGGCACAGTGTAATCACAGGGCTTCTTATAAGAGAGAGGCAGAAGGGTTAGAGTTAGAGAGGTGATCATGGAAACAGGTTGGAGTGATGGGGCAGACACAAGCCAAGAATCAGGATTGATTCTATATGTTGGCAAAGGCAAGGAAATCGATTTGGCCTTACAGCCTCTAGAAGAAAGGCAGCCCTGCCTGTCCATTTTAGATTTCTGAGCTCTAGAGCTGTAAGAGAATAAATTTGTGTTGCTTTAAGCCATGAATTCTGGGGTAAATTGTCACAGTGGCAACATGAAATTAATATAGTTCTCAACAAATATAAGACAGTTCTTATTTGCCCATACCCACACCAACACAGTATAATCTTTCCTTTCCATTTATTTTTTAGACTGAGTAAAAAGTGATACCTCATAGCTTTAATTTGCATTTTAAAGAATATTATTCAATTTGAAAATGTTCAGTGTTTATTTGCCATTTGAATTTCATCTGTGGTCAGTTGCCTAATCATAGCCTTTATCTGTGTTTCTATTTGAATGTGTATTTTCTTCTGCATTAATTTGTAATGGTTCATTATATAGTGAAAATATGAACTCTTTTGCTATATATTTTGCAATTTTTTCCCAGTATTTCATTTGTCTCTTGTTTAAAGTGTTTCCTGATATTGAAAAGCTTTCCATTTTAATATGTCATTCTTGGAATGCTCTTCCCTAAATTTGTCAAAGTATTTAGTTGCATATTATTTTAGTACTTTCAAGTTTTTATTTTAAAGATAGCCCAATGGATTTTAAAGTGTATAAAATATTCATTAGTATAGTTTCATATTCCATATTACAACTAGTCTTAAAGAAAATATCACTTAAGTTTTGATGTAGTGTCAAAGGACACTAACAGTTATCTAAAGATTACTAAAATACTCTGCCCTTTTCAATCACGTAGCTGTATGATCATGGTTTACATTCACATTTAAATCTTTAGTGGAAATCTAATGGAATTTGTTCCCAGCCTCTCTCTCCACTGTTTCCCTCTTCATCCATATCTGTGAGGGCTCCAGTTACCTGTTTTTGCTTTTTTATTCTGCTCACTGGTTATAGTTGGTTACATTGGACATGCAATTAGGTTTCCTTTCCTGGGAATTTATAACACTTTGGAACATTCTTAGTCTGACATGTGTAGCTATAATCTACATTCTGGGGGACAGGACTATGGGGAGACCATACTGCACACAAGTCCTTAGAGAGAATGAAACCCTTGTGAGAAGACTCATTGAGACAAAAGACTGAGCAATGCAGGTCCAATTCCTGGCTTCAGCCCCTTCCTGAAATCAGGGTACATTTCTTCTGAAGATTTCCATGAAACAGTCTGGAATCATGTAATAAATTATCTTTTTACTAATTTTGCATTAACAATAATTCATTGGTTAATTTTCTCATCACTGCTTGTATTTCCCCAATTTTCTTAAAACACTCTTTTTTATTTTTAATGGTTAATTTGAATCTGGGTCCAAATAAGTCTCTACACATTTTAATTGTTAATAAGTCTCTTAAATCTCTTAACTCTTCCTATGCCTTGTCCATCTTCTTTTCTCCTTGCAAATCTTTGTGATGTTTGTTGTTGTCGTTGAAGAAATAAGGTGTTTTGTCCTATAGAGTTTCCTATCACATGAATTTTGTTGATTGCATTCCTGGGGTATCATTAACTCATTCCTCCACCTCCTAAGTTCAATTTTTTGCAGTGTTACTTCTGAGATGGAGTTTGAACATCCAACAGGAGGCGCATATTATCTGGTTGCCTCTCTTGGCACCCTACGGAAGAATCTATCACAGCTTCGTTATACTGTATTGCAGTTTTATGTTCACTTGGCTCTTTCCCTCTCAAGACTGCAAATTCCTTGAGGACAGTGCCAGTGTCCTCAGACCTAGCTTAATGCCTAGCACAGTGGCAAAGCAGATCTCTCAGGGATGCTCCTGTGAGATATATCATGTCATATAACATAGGTTTCTACCAACTCCCCCAGGAATAATTAGTTGCAAAATATTCTCTTAAATAATTAAAGGAGATAAACTGTTATGTACATGCTGGAAAAGCAAAACAGTTTGGAAAACTGCTCTTCCAAAGCTTATGATGAGAGTTTAAAGCAGTTGCCCATGATCCGTTAATAATTAGTTAGATAGCAAAAATACCTCTGTTGGAAACCACATTCAATTTGGGACAACAACCAAAAAAACTCATCTTTCTATTTTCTGTAGCCAGAGACCATTTCCCAAGATGAATAAACTGATTTTCAGAGAGGTTAAATCGCTTGCCATAAGGCACACAGCTGATACTGTACTTGGCAGAGTTCAAGTCTTGGATCCAGGTCTTCAGAGTCCAATTACAAAGCTTTTTGCAGGACATATTAATATTACAAAACAGGCCTACTGAGTGGCTCCCATGTTAAGGAGGCTTTAGCAAATGGCAAAGCACAAATACTAGTCTCCTTTCAATCCTGTAGTAAAGATCTTCAAATCCACCTGTAGAGCTAGATAATTCTGAGCAAACAGAAGCCCTCAAATAAAACTACTCAGGCCACAGGAGTTCCTCCAGGCTGTGGCAATGACCAAAAAGCCCCTTAACTTTGTGCATTGTTTTAAAAGAGAAATAAGTGGTTCAAAAATATGCAATTGCGAAAAGCCTTGAAATTATAACCTGCCAGCTGCCCTTGGCCTCGGGGCAGCCTGGGCTGCCTGGTGGAATCCCTTCCTCCGTAGCTGGGCTTCATACTTGAGCACCTGCCAGTGCTAACTTCACACATTAACTAACTGCATTGCCATGCTGGATATCTGACTGGGGACTTGTGTCCTCGCCCAAAGTAGAAACTACTAAATCAGGAGCCGCCCCCTGGCTGCACCAGTGAGAGCGCCGCAGAGATCATCTCAGGGGCTCCCGGGGCCTTCCAGATCCCACTGCCGGAGCTGATCCTGGATGGCTTCATTAGCTCGCAATCATGAGAAGCCGAACCATTCCAAGAGCAAAGGCCAGCTGAGACAGCCACCTGATTTATTCCCCACAGGCTCCCAGTAACACTTCAACCATTTACAAAACCAGTGGTGTCCTCAGTGTTTGGACCAGGCCAGAGCACGACGGGAGTACATGACACTTGAAAGAGAATACAGCGTGTGCTAAAAGCCAAAACCAAAACCGAAAAACAAACCTGATCTGGAGGCTGTCAAGAGGCCCCGTGCGGCGTCAAGCCAGGATGAGCGTGCACGCGGCGGGGGAGCGCGCTCCACGGAACTCTCCTCTACACTCGGCAGCAGTAAGCTTTCAGGGAACCCAGGGGCAAACTTCAAAGGCCACCAGTTTTATTACACACAGCTTGGGATGTGTGAGTCGTTTGAGAACGTCTGACATAAGACAATAATGGATGTGAAGCCGCTTCGTCTCTCCTGAGAAGCTTCCCTGAGCGCCCCGTGGCAGGCACGTCCTTCTCTGTGCTCTCAGAGCGTCTGGTTCATACATGATTGTGCGTGTCATTCACGTTGCCCACGAGTTACACGCCGGTGCAGCTGCGGGCTGTGTGTACCCTTCCCCTCAAAAGCAGGGCCCGTGTGCTCTTCTCTGTTGACCTTCAGTACAACAGCGCCTGGCACTTAATGTGTTGAATGAGTGCTGTTACCTCAACAAAAATACTTTATATACATCATTTCTCCTTTTATTACTCCTGCTCGCACAAACCCGATTACTCTCAGATAAGAGGAAATCTCCTAAAGTAATTTTCACTTCATTACTGAAGTACTAGTTGAAAAGAGCCATTTTGTTCACTAAAATAAAAATTACAGACTGTATGATGGCACAGTCTACAATGAGACCGTAAAACCAGAATTAAGGCAAGGTTGACAATTTTCTTCTCTGGAAAAAAAAAAAATCCATGTTTATGAGTAATATAAACTAGGATGAGACCAGGATGGCCATCATTGCTTGTCCTGACATTTCCTGAAGACGGGGTTGGTTTTTGAACCACTCTGAGGTTTGGTTTCCTCTCCAGGGAAAGCCAGAGGTCAGCTGAGGAATCCTGTACTAAATACAGCTTTCTCAGGATAACCCTTCTGGGCAGCTCTGAACTGGAGCTCCCTAATCTAGGCAAATAGGTTTCATTTCACATACTAGTGCCAGTAGACGTCCTGGAGTGTCGGACTGAGAAAGCCTGGGAGCTGAGCTTAGCGGTAACTCCATGATGGATGAATGGCAGCCACCATGGGTACAGGTGGGGAAGAGTTGTGCAAGGACTGGATGCCACCATCCTTACCTTAATTGCTTAGCAATGCAGAAAAAGCTTGCTATATATGGGTCTTAATCATTTTAGCCTTTAGGAATGCAGAGATGGAACATTCACACAGAATACCCTAAATGTACACTCCCCCGTCCAAGATAAACCATGCCAGTTTCATAGAGAAATGACGGGGAGCAAAGCACAATAACATGTCCTAGTACAAATCCTTCTCACTGTGCCCTTGGCAGGTTTGTCTGAATGTAATCCCCACAGAAGCCTTCACTATGGGGCCAATTCCTAAGAGCCAATTGCTGCCTATTTGATTGATTTGTTGATTGCACCAGGCACTGACCTGCCCATGGCAATGGGGGAGTTGCTCTTTCCCAGTCAAGAGGAATAATAATAACAGGAAAAGCTGCCAGGACAAGGCATCTGGCAGGACTTGTTGGAACTCTATTTCTAGAACCTGGAATGCACATGGACCTCAAAGGCAGCAGGGAGTCACTCTGGCTAGTCCTGAGTGCCCTTAAGAGGAATTATTTGCAATCTTTCACTCCACACCACCTATGCAGGTACTACATTCCAGCATATTTCAGATGTTTCTTTCTACAGGTGGAGAGTTCACCTCTACCTCCACTTCCACCTTTCCACCCTCCCCATGGTGATGGCTCACTTACACGGGCCTATGGAAAAAGAAAAAGTTGACATAAAATAAAAGCAGAATATTGACAAGGTCATTTTCAACTTTGAAGTGAGAGACATTACATATCAGGTCACCTGCGTTGAAGGAACACTGACATACTTTTTTTAACTGCTCCACATGAGCCACAGTTAAAAAATATCCCTATGTAGCTTTGACAGTCCTTAGCTTGCTTTCTTCATGCTATAATCCTTTACTCCTAACATATGATTAGTTCTCCACCAGATACTTCTGCCTGATACCAAATTCTATCTCTAGAATGTCACTCTTTCTTAGCAGCTCTAACCAGCAGCTAATAAGGCATGTGCAAGAGATAACAGAGAACAAAGATGAGAGTTCTCTGTGCTTGTGCTCGTGAGAATGGAGCCAACGTACCTTATCCATTGAGGATGCATCAAAAGCAGAAATGCTGACTAAAACAAGTCAAATGCTCACAGCTGAAGTTTTATAAATATTATGACAACAATTTAACCTAAGAATTTTTGAAAGACCAATCAATAAACACATACACCATCACTGAATTGAATTAACACGTGTTCCAATTTCTTAAACTCTCTCTGAACTCCTTAGAGTCTGCACTAGGATTGTAGGTGACCTCTTTTTCCTTTTAACCTCTACCTCCTCTACCAAAACTAGTCCATAGCTTCAACAGATGAAGCTAATGGAATCTTTGAGGACAAATCCTAGCAGATACTCAAGAATTCTGTATACAGAAGTGAGCCTACAGAGGGAACCAAGAGCTCTGTTTCACATCTATCCCCAAGTTCAAAGAGAACTGACATACTATTTATAGAAGCAACTTCTATTTCAGACTAACCCAAGAAAGAGTCTCAACAAAAAGGCTTGAACTTTTTAGGACTCACTCTCCCTATGATTTCAAAGTAGCAAAATGTAATGGGCAAATATGAATGGGCAAATGTAATGGGCAAATATGAATTCTGAAGAGAATTCATACAGGTGATAGTCTGATATTTCTTTTCCTCTTGTTTTCTGGAGATGTCTTTTTAAAATATGAATTCATGACTATATGAAATGAATATTTTATCTGTAGACTATATCAATTGCCTCCAATGTTATTGGAGTATAATTGATTTTAATTATTTAAGTGTTTGAGGTTTGTTTACTTCACAGATAATTAAGAGGGAACAAAGCTTTGCATAGAGAATGAGTGTGGGCCGAGAAGTAGATAAAGGAAGTTAATGGAAAGTCTTTAATAATTTCTCTAGATTGTGGGAAGCTGCTGAATATTCAACATGGGAGTTAACTGTACCTGTATAGTGGCCCTGATATCCACCCTCTTTTTCTCCTTGCCCCCAGATAAGTCTTCATTACCTCTTGCTGGACTGTTGTGACAGTCATTGGCTTGGTTTCACAACTCCTTCCTCTCTTCTCTTCAACTGATCCTATATCAATCATTTATCCAAGAAATATGTAACAAGCATCTACTATGTGTTAGGTATTGAATTGACTTTTAAAGAGAATGACCTAACAGGACTCTCTGTCTACCAAATTCATTCCCAATAGGATCTATGAGCAGGGGTGGGGCTGTGTGTGTGTGTGTATGAGTGTGTGTGTGTGTGTGTGTGTGTGTGTGTGTATTCTTTCTAGGCTAAAACTTGACATTAGTTTGCTTTCTTTTTCTTTAAAGAAAACAAAAATTTTTTCAATCATTTATAATACTGTCCCATAAGAGCCCGCAATACACAGAGCAAAGCTCTGGGCCTCATTCACTGATGTCCTCAGGTGTGAGAAGACTAGGTGTCACTGTGTCCTTCCATTCCCCATATAATTCTCCAGTCTAATTCCAAAGGATCTAACCACCTTTTTCCTCCCAGAATCTCTTGTGTTTTCAAGCTTTATTTTATTCATATGCTTAAGTATTTCTTTTTTGTTTGTTTGTTTTTAATTTTGGGGGGAGTGGTTGATTTGGCAGGTGAGTTGTTACACACTCCTTAGAGGATTCAATTTCCATAGCCATCGTACTACTTGTTTAAGTCTTTCTGATTTCAAAATAGCATTCAGGATATTTTCAAATATATATGTTTTCAAATATACATATATATATAAGAGGGCTCTCTGGGAAATATCCAGCCATGTAACCTGTCTCATTATATTAACATTGAGTTTTTTTTTGACAGCTTTCATATAAGCGTGCGTGTGTACACATATTATGCATACATAATTACATATCATATACATAATTATGATGATGATGATAATATAATTATAATTATGATATATAATTATTATTATATAGCATTATATATACTATATACACATGTATATACACACGTTATTTTGAAAATTTCTTAAGTTATTCTGGGGTAAATCTTATTTTTCCACGTAAATCTTCCTTTTTTTTCTGTGTGAATAATAAATGGCAGCTTTCGGAATTTTTTTTTTATTTTAAGAGGTCTCTTCAATAAGTTGCCTATAGGCCTTAGGAAGAAGACTCCATTTATAGTCCAAGATTGCACATTGCCTTGCTTCCACTTGTTGAGGGTTGAGAGCTATCTGATTGGGATATACCACGTGATGTGGTGGAGAGGGCCTGGGGTCTGGAGAGGACTTGGATTTAAGCCCAGTCTCTACTGCTTGCTGGCTCCATGTTCTCTTGGGAGCAGCACTTCAGGATAGGTGGTTCTGCCTCCTCTCTGTGAAGCCTCACAGGTTGGTGCTAGGGTGGCGAGGTCAGTGAAATTGCTCTTGAAACTCTGTGAGTCTTGAAACACTGTGAGTTGTGGACTACATGGGAGAAGGGATGCCTTGGAGTAGTGATGTTTCTGGTGACCTAGTTGTCCATTCCTGATAGTGTTAATAAAGAAATTGAAGCAAGTAAAGGAACTGACACATGTGCTCCCCATTCCTACTTCTTCCCACCCAGCTGAAATGAGGTTTCCTATCAGACGCACTCTACAAGCATTCATTACTGCCAGTATCTAATACTATGAGTATTAAAAAGTGCTGAAGAGGCTTTAACATCATCCCTCAACCAATTAATTACTGAAGCTAATCAGTGAGTCTGAAGAGCTTTTGGTATGAATATACAAACCTATTTTCTCTGCTCTTGGTAAAGAATATGCCACTTTAATGCTGGCCACTTTTTCAAGTATTGGTTTAATCTTTGTCGTCCTGCCTCCCACACTTTTTGGCAGGCTACCAATCAGGGGTATCCACAAGACAGCCACAGGCATGCACGATTATATATGCTCAGTTGTGTAAAAAAAAAAAAAAAAAAAAAACAGTAGTCTTCAACAAAATCGACTCTTTTTATTTCTTAAAAATACAGCATTCTGATCTTTAAACCAAAAGGTATTAAATAGATAAAGGATAACTAGCCATTATCACCCATGAATTGTGGTTAAAATCTACTGGCTAGACAGAAATCCCAACAGAAAATAAAATCTATTTTTCTAGCTTTGGAATCAAATCCATGCATTTGTCCAACTGCAGACTCTCCCAATGGCCTGTGAAGTTAAAAAAAATATTATAAAATCAACTTCTTGGAATAGTACGAATTTTTAAGGACAACTTATACTGCTCTAATCCCCATGTTACTTGTTGTATGTAAAAGTCATTAAATTAATTGTTATCTTAATGTTTCAGCAAATTCAGGTCAACATAATCTTGTAAAATATAATGTCAGATGAAATTAGTTTCTTTAAAAACCCACTGGCACTTTTTCCTGCTTACTTGTTTACTCCTGTCTCCCTTTCCTCAGTGGGGTGTGTGCTATCTGGGCGTGTGTTGGTCACCACCAATTCTCTTTCCTTTTTAATC